TTTTGATCAATTATTGAGGTGAAGCTTTAATTTTTAAATGCTAGAAAGGCTAAATTATTCTGTACAATTTATGATTTACATTTTCTTATTACCCGTTTCAAACCCACAAGGTTCTTCAGTCCCCACCAGTATATTAATGGTCGAATATTTCTTTACAAGTTCTCAGAATATTTTCAAAAAAGGCTGAAATAGTATAGAACTGGTCGTATAAAAATGCAATATGGAAATTTATTCTCTTTCAGATTGCAACCTTTAGGTTGAGATAATTTAAATATTTGTTGAACAAAATAATGGTTTAGAAGTGAAATTGTATATTTTCATTAATTAATAGAATCCCAAAAACTTGATATTTCACATAATGGAACCACATTACTTAAAAAAAAAACATTTTGGCACTCGATTAAAATTCATCACTTTAAGTATGTAGTCTTATTGTTAAAAAGTCCATTTGATTATTTAACTGGATGCAATTATTTATAATGTTATATCAAGATATATGTTGTTGTAGTTGTCTCTTTATGTGATGTTGAAATTGAATTGCTTACATATGAATAAATTTAACAAGATGTGACACACACAGAACATATTGTAAGAGCTAAAGGATAGATGCTAGTTGTGCGGGAGGGAGTGGGGAGGGGTAAGAGGTATCTAACACAATAGCTCTATAAGACAATGGCTTCTTGATGACATTTCTGTCATTTGCATAAAATCCTTGTCTGCTTTCTCCAGCCCATTCTATACCATTGTCTTCCCCTACATATTACCCCGTATACAGTTCATGTCGAGATGAACCGTTCGTGAATATGAAAAGGTCAACATGAATTAATAGTTTCAGTATTTTTCTTGAAACTATAACTATTTTGACAGAAACTATTTTATATGTTCCATCTTTAATTTTACTTCTTTATTTTTTGAGATTTGTCTTAATACAATTATTCTTATTAACCTAATTAAATTAACAATAAACCAAAAAAAATTTTATCATAAAAAGATATCTTGGTTCATTTTTCTCTGTAGGATGACAAAATTTATACTATTATGCAATATTCTATTCTAAAATATAAGTAACTGTTTAGAGCTTATTATAAACATAATAGTCAAAATTTAAATTTCACATAATAATAGAAACAACAATATTCTCTAATCCTGTTAGTTTAGCAGTGATTATTTATTAAATATCATTTATTAAATAATATTCAAGAGTTCTTTAAACATTTCTTTAGTTCAATACTTTTATTTTTTATGCTTCGAGACCTACTTCATATTAAATTGTTTTAATATCCTCAAGCATCTCTTGAGTGTAAAGTACACTTATTAAATAGATCATTTTTGATAAATAAATGATACTTTGCTAATGAAAGAAAGATTAATTTGTTCCTTTTCTTAAAATTTTATTTAACAAATAAGCCAAAATTTACAAAACATCTTTTTTTTTTTTTCATTAACTGCTGAATTTTTACAAACATGGAAACTGCTAGTTCCTGATAAAGCTGGTATACTTCCAAACGCTGTGCTTCTGCATCAAGCTTAATAAATTCACCTCTTACACTAGCCAGGGACCTTCCAATGCCACCACATCATCTGCATATGCCAGTATCTGGGTCATCTTGGTGTGGATGGTTCTTCCGGTGTCTAGCTCAGCTTGCATCACAATACCTTGGAGAACAATATTTAATAAAAGGGGAGCTAATGGGTCTCCTCGCCTCAATCCATTCTTCACTTCAAGTGAATCTAAAGCACCAGTTGGGGTTTTAACCCGGCATTCATTCCGAACTATGGTACATCTGGGCAGCCTGATGAGCTTGTCTGGTATTCCCAGTTCTCCCATAGCCATAATCAAGGCATTTCTATTGACAGTGTCATATTCTGCTTCCAAATCCACAAACTGCATCCTTATAGACCTTCCAAATTCTCTCTTCTTCTCAGAGATCCTTCTAATAGAAAAAAATTGGTCTATCCTGGATCTGTTGTGTTGGAATCCTCCTTGGTAGTCTCCGAGTACTGTCTCTGCTTATGGGACTATTCTCTTATACAAAGCAACAGAAAAGATCTTACATGCAATGGTGAGTAATGTGATTCCTCTGTAATTCTAACATTGCATGATGTCCTGTATTCTTTTGTATATTGGCATTATTTGGCCTTCTGACCAATCACTATCGATCACTTCTTTCCAAATTCTCGCTATCAATTCTTGGAATACCACAACGATCCTAGTTTGCTCCTTTGAAAAGTTCTGCTGGAAGATCATCTGTTCCTGGTGCCTTATAAATTTTTGTTCCCACTATTATCTCCATAACATTATCTTTATCAGGCAGTACATTTTCTTCACTTTCATTTATCCCCATTACTGCATTAACCAGTTCTACCTCCTCAGTCTGTTCACAATTTAAAAGCTTCTGAAAATGATTTTTTCATTGATTTCGCACTTCTTCTGTGACCAATACCTCTTCCTTATGATCCTTGACCACTGTATTTTGGTTGCTATTCACGTTCTTAAAGGTATACTACAAAGGGGATACTTTGTACAAGTTCATTTACCTTTTGCTGGTATTGTGTACATGTCTTCTCATCTCCGAGTAAATCAATGTTCCATGCCTTGTACTTTTTCTCTTCCACCCCATCGTTTTATCTCTGTTCTAATGCACTGCTTTAATTTCATAACAAACATGTTGTGATCATAGTTTATACCAATTCCTCTATATAACTGAACATCGTTAACACTGTTGCAATACCGGTTGGATATCAGAATATGATCGATCTGGTTCCTAATGCTTCCATCCGGGGAACATCAGGTTTGCTTGTGAACGGTTTTAGGTGGGAAAAATGTGTATATAATGATGAGGTGTCGATATACAGAGAAGTTTCCTTCTTTCTCCATTATCATTTAATCAACTGTGCAAACTGTGATCGCCAATAGTGGGCTTTAACTCGGCTGCATGCAATTTATTAAATTTAAGTTTTACTTTGAGTCCAATTTATGGCATATAATGATTTATCTAATTATTTTGTTCTAAATAAATTATAGATTTGAGGCCAAAAGGGCGTGGAAGACCTCAACGAATACTGTTGGGAATTTGGCCTGAAGACCATATCAGAGGGGTTATCAGGGCTGTTGTCTTCAGAGACCCTCAGCACATGAAAGAAGAAACTCTTAATCTTGGATACCCTCATCGCATGCCTGTAAGAATATTTTGTGTACAATAATTTCCCTTCATTGTTAATAAGTCTGATGAAACTATCTTTCGCTATATGTTTTTATTGGTGGAAATTTAATTGGTTGAATAATTTTTAGCAGTATTATTTATTAAAGTTTAAAACAGTAAATTGATATGATTAGTTTATGTAAATTAATATAATTTTTCATTACATATTTTTAAACCATCTTGAAAAGGTATTTTTTAAAAATTGATTTATTAATTTTTTTATTTAGAAATCTCAGCTCTGCACTCCTGAGAGTGTTCACAGCTACGGTAGTGGTGGAGGAAGTGGTGGCGGAGGCAGTAGTGGCCCAGGCTCAGTGACAGACTCAGTGTCACCTAACTCTGCGGCAGCAGCGGTCGTCGCCGTTGCTCAGAACTTGCGGCAGCAAATGTTGGCCGCTGCACACCATCATGAGCAACATCCTCACCAATATGGAGGATTCCTAGCAGCTGCTGCTGCAGCACATTGTGGCAATGGAGCCGCTTCCCTCATGCTTCACTCTCCAAGTCCAGTTGACTCTTCCCCAAGGTCGTCACCTCTTACTCAACCCAACAATAATATGGAGGTATGAACATAAATATGAATCTTTAATTGTAATATTTAATTGTACAAACAACTGAAAATTACTTGATGCTACAAAATATATTTTAGTGTTAAATATTATTAAGATTTACTATATCGTAGTTACAATTTATTTCTCTTTTGTTGACAGATGGCAATGGGCATGGGTTACAAACCAATGGTGAATGATAACATGACGCCCAGGTCAAACGAGCATTTATTCCAAGATGAAATTGAAGATTTAGTTAAAAGGCCCCAATCAAATGAAGGCCCAAAAGTTAAGGTTAGTTAAAAGAAATCTATTTATGATATAAATTGAAATCAAAATTTCAGTTAAGGTGCTTAAATTGTCAGTGTGGTACTGTTATCCTTTAAAATCAATTATTGAACTTCATCCTGTTAACGAATATTTTAAATATGTTTATAAATTAAACCCTTTTGTAAAAAATTATTGCACTATTACATTTTTGTTACTTTCTACTATTTGTTATAATAGTAAACATTTTTTATCTTTAGGAATTATTATTTTTTCCTTCCAATAACTCTATAAAAAAATTAGACATTCAGTTGTCCCAAAATATGAAAACAGAAAAAAAGTTATGATTGCTAAAAGTTATAGCAGGGTTATTCTGCAAATATGTATATTCTGTCATCTGCTTAAAATTAGCAGGTTTACTAAATATGCAATTGAAAAAAAAAAAAAATCAGGTGTCTGGATATGACTTAATGATGACATTTAAATTAATAAATATGAAATTTTCTAGCCTCAACCTATGGTATACAAGCCAATGCCCAATGATCTCTCCGCCAGAGCTGATCACCTGTTCCAAGATGATATGGATCTGATGAAACGCCCTCAGCAGCCCGAACCACCAAAGGTCAAGGTAATCATAAAATTTATTTTTCTTTAAAAAAATAAAATTATTTTAAAATGCATATTGGTTCAGATGTTAGACTTTTGTTTTTATTTAATGTATATTCTTGATCTTAAGGAATTCTGAGTGAAAGAGTGTAACAAAATTTGAAATCCTTGCCTAAATTTACAAAAGATAAAACTATTATGCGTTCAGATTCAAACATCCTAAATAAAACAGTTTTATTTTAAATTATAATTTTAATATTGCTTCTCATGGATTTTTTGGTCTATGAAATTTTTTAAACTTAAATCTTCTTCTCTTCCTTCCTCTTTGATGCCTTTCAGCGTAGAGGATCTTAAATCTTACAAATTAAAATAAAATATTTAATACTTCAACAGATTATAAAATAGCTCAAGGAAATAAATCACTGTATATTATTTTCCCACTCACAGCTTTATTAATACTCAATGATTATAAGAATGTAACTTGTTGATTTATTTATGCAGAAAATAATTATAACTATACAGGATCATAATTGTTCTATTTTTCTTTTCCAGGTTGGTATTGGTGTTAGTGGAATGCCATACAAGGGCAGCTGTGAAGGATATGGTCCACCCCGACCGGACTCTCTCCTCCAAGACGAGTTCGAAAACTTGGTGAAGAGCCCTCCTCAGGCCGGCCAACCTATGCAGAAGGAGCCTATTCACATGTCTGTCGACCAGCGCACTGACTAAGGCTTGTCCATCAGCATCCACGCTTGTATACTGTTGAGATAAGATCCCTTTATAATGTCTATTTATTTACTTTTTGTATTGAAAAAAACATTGTAAAAATAGAGAAAAAAAAGAAGAAAAAGTGTCGTGTTAAAATGTAAGACTTATATTATATTGACTATTTTTTAAGTTTCTGTACTAAAGTACAAGGATAGGCTCGTAGTCGAGTATTTATTGTTTAAAAAGTTATTTAAATGTTATCATGATGATAATGGGGGTTTTTCATGATTTGGTATAAAAAATGTTGATCCAAAAATTGTATATGTTTTTGTGAATATGTGAATATATTGGTATATAAATATTATTGCACACGTGATAAGTTGTCATAGACAACGGGGTTGTGCAGCGTTATATTTGGGTAACTATTAAATTTACTGTATGTCATATTATAGTTAGTAATATAAGCCAATCATCACATGGTAGTAGTATACTTTGTTATATAATGACATTTTGTTATCCTCTTTGCTGATGCCTTAAAAAAAAAGAATAAAAATATTAAAGTCGATGTTCTTCTAAAATTTTGAAAACTGAAAGATAATCTTATTTATTTATTTATGAAAGTTTTCAGGACCATAAATTTTTAAAAAGATTTATGTTTAGAAATATATATTTATATATTTTGATTTAAATTTTAAAAACTTCCTTTAATGTTAGGAGTTATTGTAAAATGTAATTATATATATTTAAAATCCTCTTAACTAGGAATAAAGGATAAATATTGATGAACTAAAAATTAAAAACACAAAAAAAATTCAACTAATCTGATTTTTGTCTATTTGAAAAAATAAATTAAAAATAGTATGTAAGTATTTATTTAAATTTAAAGACAAACTTTCCTTAATACCAAATATCATCATTTATACCCTGTTTATAATTTATTTAAACGTATAAGATTGTGTAAATATGCAGATTATAGTAGGCTATTTTATAGATTGATCCGTATAATAAATCTAGTACATACATATACACAGTATATTTATTATATGCCAACTGAATTAGAAAATCTTATAATAGATCTGTGAATGTTCATTGTTTTTAATATTCTCAGGATTATTCATATATCTACTGGCCTCCGACTTATAACTAAACTGAAATTGTTTATCAGAATTCTTAGTGCAGTTTTCACATCTGTATTAATTAAATTTTCTGTTTATTACAGTTATTACAATATACAAGCTATAATAAAGTAGTTCACTTTGCATTAAAATAGTCTAGTAGGTCTCCACTTTCACAAACAATAATTTGTTATGATAACCATAATATGCTATAGTCTCAACATTCAGAGATAATTGTTCAGAACAAATAGTCAAAATGATATAAAAATATTCATGTTGATTAAATTAGAGGTTTTAACAGGTTGGCTGCCAACCTAGGGATAGTTTATAGTTGCTGATAAATGCCCAACATGAGCAATATCATTAGTACTTGCATAAATTTTCTTTATCCAGTAAGAGTCATTAGTAACGAAAAAGAATTATTTCATACCACATCATTAAAAAATAAAATAAAATGAGAGTTTACAAGATAATAAGTATAATTATCATTAGATCTTCTAATAACCTACAATGGTTAAAGATCTATATTTAAGTATGATATGTTTTGAAAAACTGTTCAATCCATAAATCACATGACATTTGTAATTTTTGGCCATAATTTATTTCCAATTAAAATCATAATTTAAATTGATAGTAAATCATAATAATAATTTAAAGTAATATATGTTTATTTAATTCTATGTAATCAATTTAAAATACATATACAGAATTCTCTAAAACGATAGACTTGGCAGTCAACTTGTTAATTTTATGTTTAAATCAATTATTTTAGATAGTAACTTTGTGAAAAACCAGACAATTCAGCCAAATCTAAAGTTTATAAAAAAAAATTGTAAACATTATGGTTAGACTGCGATTGCCTTCCTCGATATCACTTCATATGCCCGATATTTAGATCATTTAGATTGTAATTAGGAAAACTATATATTGTTTAAATTGTCCCATTTGTAAATATATAAATAAATATGTATAGATAAATATGTCATTGTGAAAAGCTTATGTAATATTATGTTAACAATATATATCTAAGAAGTATAGAAACAAAATTATAATGCTTCCTAAAGGAATCTCAAAACGCTATCATATTGTTGCATAATTATCAAATATCTAAATATACTTAATGAGTATATTTATGTAACATAACCGTCTATCTGACTATCAAAATAAAATAAAAATTAAAAAATGTAAAAAAAAAAATGAAATTTTATAACATAAGATATGTAAAAATAAAATGCATGATAAGTGATATATTTGAAGTTAGTAATGAAACTACCTGTTTCTATTTGATTGTGTATAATATTACTGGCTTTTTTCAATTAAGTTATAGTTTTAATACATTCCCGAAATGTAATGATTTATTTGTTACTGTCCATTCAGTTTTGTTTGTACATTTTCTTTCTTTTTACTATATTTGCATTGATATAAAGCTGAATAGAATTTCATTTATATTTTTATTTATTTCTTAATTATGTATAATTTAAGATGGTACGGACAATGTTTTGTTTCAGTTCCTTTAATTTTATACGACTATCCGAGGATGTGTATTCCTTAGAGAAAAATCTCGTATTAATTATTTTGTTTTCATAATTTGTAATAACGTGAAGTCTGATGGCACATAATTTAGGCGCATAAAACTTTTTGGCCAAAAAAAAAATAAAAACAAAATTGCAGACCAAAATTTGAGACTAGTTTAAGAGTAGATTATGATTGTCATCCTGTTAGTTAGTTAGTCTAGTCAGATTTCATACTATTTAGAACAATATTTTCGTAAATATTGTCTTTGCATCAGATACTGAGATAAGAGGTCATAAATTGTATTATAATTAGCCTTGTCCATTATGGAGGCATAAGTTGTTGTCATGAAAAGAGACCTCCTTAAATAATTAATAATTAGTTTTAACTATCTGAAGCTTATCCAAGTATGGTTTTATCTACTCTATTCCGGTACTGACCTTGTCGATTTGTCAAAATGTTATAGGATCATAAATAGTGCCTACAAATGAGGTGTAACTGTCCTAGTACCTAACCCTATCCCTTAGTTTCGGCTTCATCTACTACCTGTGTTCAAAAAATTTGACAAAAAAAAAGTGCCTTCCATTTTCTGACCATTTTTTATGTTATTATATCTGATTTCGATGTACAATGAATTGTTTTGTTTCTTTTAGGAGATGAAAAAAATTAAAAATTATGAAGAACAATTATTTGTAGGCATACTACTTGACCTTATAATTTTATCTTTAAACATATAACAAAATATTTATCACAGGCTAATGGATTTATTAGATTGTATCATTGTAACTGTGTTAGCTGCATTGTATGAGATGCAATAAAATTGTGTACACAAACCAGTTTTTATTTTTTCTATTCAATTATCCCTTCTTTCATTTATATTGTAAAGTTGTATTTATTTCTTATTGGCATAACTCCTTAATGCTAGTGAAGCCTTATTGAAGGTACAGTTTATCAGAGATCAAGTGAAATAAAAAATTTATTTATTTTTACATTCTTCATTAGGCATAGAGTAGTTATTACTTATTATTTAAAATATAATTTTCAAATTAAGATTTAATAATAAGTGGAAGAAATGAACACCATTGCACTTCTAAGGAGTATGTAAGTATTGAAGATGTCATTAAACAGATGAGTTTAAATATTTAGAAATTTAGTATATAAAATATTTGTTATAATATATAATTAAGTATTCAAAATAAATTCAAGGATTCACTTTTCTTTTTTTATTTATTTACCATTATTATTAGGCCCCTGTTAGGCTGGGCTATGGTTGGAATGTGACCAGCAAGCAACACTTGGGTGCTAAGATAAACTAGACCTGCATTGTTTATTGAAATACTAACTTGGATAGTTTTCACATAGAAATTCTCCTTTATTTTAATAAGTTTCATACTTTATATACTTAATAGCTTTATGCGGCCACGCACTGCTGTGGCTCAGTATGGAAAAATGGAACAGAAAGAAAATAGAAAGCACATATGAGTGGATTTATACCAAAGGACATCTGTCATTTTTAAGAAGTTGAGAAACAAATTTGTCTATAACATTGCTTCAAATTTAACTAATTTTAATGATTTTTTTTCATGATTCAACTTTAACATTCTTAATCATCAGAGTGAATACGCCGTCATTCTTAATCATCAGAAACAGTCTGAGTTGAACTAATAAACCTAAAATTGGCTTTATCTCCGCTTTCTGAAAATGACAGAGATCCGTCTATGAGATATGAAGCCACTCATATATTTTCATGTTTAATTTTATTAGTAATTTTTGTATACTTAATGTATTGTTTAATGTTCAACTTTGTGTTAATTATTTTATGGCAAGCAAAAATATCAATGTTCGTTCGTTCAAACTCTTAAATCTCGGAAAGTTCTTCCCCCATTGCCTTGAAATATTGGCTTAACGTTGCATTTAAATATGCATGCGGGCTAATATATCTACTATTATAAAATATGAGGTGAAACCATACATATTTATTAAAAACGCACCATCAGTTGGATGAAAAAGCAACATATGCGGTTCAAAATATTTTACGATACTGTTTCATTGTTAAAGATTTTCAAATATCAAACGTGGCAATGCATTGAAATTGCACTATACCATTTACCGTAGCGTTCATTTTGTGTGCATTAGAGCTGCCTTCCACCTCCCTCATAAGATTTCGCATACCCCTCCTAAGATATGCTTGCTTGATGCTTGCTTCTTCTTAAAATCAACTTTATTAAATATAGAGCTTAAAAATTGTAGTGGAAAAATAAAACTTATTAATGAAAGAAACCCCACAGTAAACGGCACAAGCTTTTTCCAACGTAATGTTAAAGAAAATATTTTATTAAAAATAAAATAAACTGAAATCAATGAAAAAGTTATTGCTAAAAGAAAAATAAACGG